CTGCACCGGCCCTTCTCCCCCTTTTCAGTCTGGGTCCCCCCTTTCCACACAGCCACGGCCCCGACGCAGCCCACAGCCCTTCTCTGAAGACATTTTTTAATGGGGCAACTGCTACAAGCCAGAACTGTGACCCTTCCGTTCCCACCGCCCTCCCGCAAACTGCCCCGGACCAGCGAAACCAGAGCGGAGGTGACAGCCAGGGTGTTGTGGCCTCGCTGACAGCAAACCCAGCGCCAAAGCCCCTGCCCAGCCCCCGGGGGAGAGCACTCCAGAGGCAGGGGTCAGTTTTGCTCCCTTCTCCCAGTGCTGAACGGAAGCTCCCGAATCATTAAAGGAGCTAAAACCCAGGCTGGAACGCTGTAGGCTGAGGCCATCTCTGCCTGAAACCCAGCAAAGGCAGTAGCTGTGCTAGCCCTGTGCCAAAAGCAAGGTCTTCCCTCTAGCTAAGACAGTCTCTTAGGCATCCATCCCTCTCTCAGGAGCATCAGCAGCCCCTCGCTCCAGCCTCTGCCAAAGCAACAGTCAAATGCTACAGGTTTGCAGGAAAAGCCTTGCTATGAAGGCAAAAAAAAACGATCCCCTGGGCCTGGCTGCAGGCTAGGAGCTTCCCTTGCTGCAAGCCGAGGGAAGCACGCGTAGATCCTCGGGTGCTCGAACGGAGCCACGTCACCACAGTTCTTCCTGAACCACCACTGACCCGTCTGGAGAGTCCCAGCACCTCCAAACCCACCACTTTTGGTCAGGATGGCCGCAGGGTAATTCTCACCCATACCTTGGGTCTCCAGAGTCCTTCCTGCTGGTGAGACACAGCACACCAGCGCTGCGAGCAGTGCCTTCATCTGGGTTTCCCCGTAGAGCTCTGAAGGTGACCCCTGGCTGAAGTGCTCCTTCCCTCTGCGGGGCTGGTACAGCAGCACGCGGGAGGGAGCGGAGCAGCAGCCCTGGCTGCAGGCTCCTGCCCGCCCCGACTCCAGCCTCGGGGGGGTGGGAGCCAGCTAGGACTCAGAGAGGCAGAGAGCCTCCACGGCACTGCTCAGGCCCTGGCTCACCCCGCCGACGGCCAGCAGGCAGTTCCGCACCACGATGCTGGAGCAGGCGCAGCGTGGGGTGGGCATGGGCGGCAGGCTCTCCCACTTGTTCTTCTCGGGGTGGAAGGCCTCTGCAGACTCCAGGACAGTGGGCTGGTTTCCTGGAAGCACAAAGAGAGGCACTGGGTCACTTGGGAGGCACCAGCAAGCATCCCTTCTCTGCTCTGGGACAGCGTCTGTGCTCTGGACCCCTTCCAGGCTCAGTTTTCCCTGCTCAGCAGAGCCAGGGCCAGGATCTCTCCCCACTGTAACGATAACACGTGGCTCGCACGTGCTTTTAAAGTGTTACCACCATCCCCAGTGCCTCACCGAGTCCCCCAGCCACGACAACTCTGCCTTTCAGGTAGCCAGCCACGAAGTCTGCTCGCCTCTTCTTCAGGTAGAACGAGCGCTCCATCTTCATCCAGCCACCTGGGAGGGACAGGACAGACCGGGCATGGCAGCAGCATCTGCTCCTGGGACCCCCCCCGCCTCTCTGACCTCCTACTTGCTTGTGGAAGAGCAGTTCTGCTGCTGCGCCTCGGGGTAATGAAACCCCACGACCCAGGGGTCAGCTTCCTCACCACCATGTCAGGAGAGAGATGTTGAACCCAGCTGCCTCAGGACCGTGGGTTTCCACCCTGCTGCCTTGCTAACCTTGACTGGAGACCTTCCTCTAGGCTGGGCTCAAGGCACCAGCGGTCCCAGGGCTCAGCAGGTGATAGCTCTGAGCTCTGCAAGGACAGCGAAGCCCCAGAGCACAGCCTTGTGTGCCCCCCACCCCGCTCCTCTGGGAAGGACAGAGCTGGGACAGCCCCCACCTTGTTCCATGTCAAACATGTCCACGGTCCTCATGAACTTGGGCTGCCGGTAGAGCCGTCCCTGTCGCAGGCCCCCGAGGCTGAAGAGCTTGTCTTCTGTAGGCACGAAGCTGGAGAAGGCTCTTTTGTTGGGGATGTTGGGGAACTTGGTCCACAACCTGGTCTCTGTGTCAAAGACCTCGAAGGCATTGATCGCGTACTTGGACTGCCTTCCACCTGGGGCAGGGAGACGGAAGGAAAAGGGTCGGCTTGGCTCCTAGCACCGAGCCAACGGCAGCAGGAACCAGAGGAACCTCCCGGGGCAGGCTGCGAGCAGGCGAGCTGCCAGCAGATATGATGTCCCCAGGTCTCAAGTCCCCTGGATAGGGGCCTGCCGAGCCAGGTAACTTCTCACCCTTGCGCTCCCTCTCCCTTAACCGCAGGTTCACGACACGAAAACATTTCATTTGTCAGTGCCTTGCGCCCTCCGCTCCCCTCCTCGCCGGCAGGAGCGGGTTGCTGGTGCGGGAAGGTGTTTAATATGTACCAGTTTAATCAAGACAAACTCGCAGCAGAGCAGGGACCGGCGCTCAGAGAGCCTTTGCAATTCAGATGAGCTCAGCGCAAGCCAGCAAGCCCCGGCCTCCGGCCTCACTGCCGAGCTCCTGACGGAGCAGGAGAGCCAGAGCAGCTGCTGCCACCACCGCCAAGGACGCGTGTTCTTCTTCCACCCATCAGACAAACACGGCCGTTCTCAGCTCCGACGCTCAGCGTGCCTCTGAGGGCAGAGCCTGTGCTCGCCGCTGGGCCCACAGACTGTTGACCAGCAGCAAGCAAACTGCAAAATAGATCAAAGAGCCTTTTCTGGTGACCCCTGCAGAAAGTCAGGGCTGGCTGATGGTCAGAGCAAGCTCCCGTGTTTTGATCCTGATGCGCCATTTGGCCACAAGCTAACAGCAACACTTCTCTGCCGTAGTTTCCCCTTCTATTACACAAGACCAACGAAGATTGTCCCCTGGAAAAAGCTTGGCCCAGCATTTCCCAGCTACAGCAGGTCGTTCCTCTGCCAAAGGCAGAGCCTGTGTGGAGCTGCACAGGACTTTGCAGACAGAAAACGCACAGAAGTATTTTTACTTGTTAGTTGAGACCAAGGGCTTTTATCGCAGGAACAGGACTGCAAATTGGGCAAAGGCCAGCTGCCCCCTCCGCTGCCAGCAGCCACGGAAGGGCCTGGGACAAGGGGGACCATCTGCCCGGCACAGAGCTGCTGCGAGACCTGTGGGCTCCCGTCCAAGGGCGCAGGAGCTCTCGCAGGGGCTCGCTGTTGGGGTGTGAACACAAACCCAGCACCAGCCCCACTCAAACCCTACAGCTGCAAGCTCAGCATCACGAAATGCACGAGAACGCAGGCGGGGATGGAGAGGAGCGTTCCCCAAAGCCTCTTCCAGGGAGGTTTCTCAGCTCTCAGATCAAAGGAGCTGCTGCCCAGCAGTGCCCGAGGTGGCGGCGGCAGGACCGCTTCTTACCCAGCACGTAGATCTTGGTGCCTCGCAGGAAGGACGTGGCAGCGTACCTGGGTGTGGGCATGGCCGCCAGCGACACCCAGATGTCCTTCAGCATGTCGTAGTGCTGCCGGTAGTTGTGCGGCCGCAGGTCTGACCCC